AAAGTTGAAATTAAGATTTTCCAAAGCTTCAAGACTTTATTCCTAAATCCAAGAATGAGATCCACTTGGCTTTAAAGCCAATTGTTTCTTCAACAGATATAATTAGAGCGTGGTACATTTTAAGAATGAACTGTACTTGTGAAAATACATTCAACAAATCTGATTTTAAACAACAAAAAAAAAAAAAAAAAAGATCTCACCTGTTCTGACAGATATTTTCTGCGCGATCATTCTCCCTCCTATCACAGCCAGTCCTGTACACAAGCAGTGTCCAAGGGTACCACCGACTGCAACCCCAAATGGATCCTGGGAATTTAATAGAAGTGCCTTTCATGTTGATGTTATAGAAAATTATACGCTACCTGTACTGAATATTTAATCAACTGTGTATCAACACAGCAGTCTTAAAAAGATAAACAAAGGATTTCTTTTGCACTGGGGCCACCCACTCTAACAAGTCAGACAATCCATGCACTGTAAGGTCTTAAAAACACACAGCCATGTGCAGTAGAGCAAATGCAACAAACCTCCCGGGCAGCTAGAATAATAGTGGTCAGCTGCGAGCGGTCCCCCCACTCTGCCAGGAAGGTGAGGGTGAAGGCTTGGATAAAGATTGGCGAGACAAGGCTGTGCCACTTTCCCTGAGGAGCGGTAGTCCCTGATCCAGCTTCCACATCTGGAGTGCCATTAACCAGCTTGGACCGCTGGAGCTGCAACAGAGGATAAAGTGATTTTACTAAAAGCTGGATGTAATGCTGTACTTAAATATAGAAATATAGCAGTAATTTCATAACTGTTATGTTTTACTCACAACATACAGTTCCTGCCACTAGCCACAAAAATGTCAAGAGTTTATTTACTTTACAGTACAAGGTACAGAGACGGGTCCACCTATTAACAGGTAGGAATACCCAAGATAATGAGACACATTTATGACAGCAGATCAGTTGGGCAGGTCATGACATGTAAGGCAGATCCTGTTGGGAAACTTCCCTTTAATCCATATCAGCCTAAATAGTAAAACCTCTGATGTTCCTGTGCAGTCTTGTGATAAAAATGGCTTCAACACAACTCCAAAGTTTTAAAATGCCTTGGGTAAGAGGAGTAGGATTTGGATTCATTTAAATTCCCATCAGACTGGCACATGAGATGTATCTGTGTCAGTATTTCCTCCTTGCATGTTTAAATACATTATCTTCTTCTGAGAAGCAGCAACACTGTGACAGAGGTTTCACGGTAAAAAAGTAACGTGAACCATTTGGGAGTTAGTGAGTAAAACGATGCTACCAGTCAGGAACAGTACCCATAGTGCTTATATAAATTATGTACGTCTACTTATTCATTCTGACTCTGAGTCAACCTGAGGCTGTACTACTTGATCTGTTTGGGAGTTAAGTACAAAGTTGGCTTACCTCTTCATCCTTCTTCTTGATCTCTGCCTGCACCTCCTCCAGCTCCTCCTGGCCTTCATCTGGACTCATCCTCAGCCCCTCTCTCAGCATCCGTAAACCAAAGATGGCAAACAGAGCGGTGGACACATAGTATGTGTAGATTCTAGGGATGATGGTGGTGGCATAGCCAAACAGCACTGGGGGGTGGACACAATAATGACTTCATTATTCCAAAGCAAGAGACTGAGGATAACTATATTTACAAATACATGCAAAAATATACAAAATATCTGCCTCTACTAACCAGAAAGACAAGTCATGAGTCCCAGAGCCAGCATAGCACCTGCCAGCACGGTGAGGCGGTTGTAACGCATGGCCATGATGGCTGCAATGAAGAAGGTCTTGTCTCCCAACTCAGAGACGATGATGACAGAGATAGAGGCCACAAAGGCGTGGATGAAACCCATGTTCCCTTTGTTGGACTCATCTTCAGAAATGACTGGGCCCACGGGATGGGCACTTGCGGCTTTCTGCAGAGAAAAGACACCCAGCAGCACACAGTGACAGTCGGCTCAGACACACTGTTTCTAATCAGTCGAGCCTACACGTCCGTCCTGGCTGGCTTGATATTCGGGCCGCATGCTCTGAGAACATTACTGGAAATGTCAACAAAACTGGTGGCGGCAAAACCCTTAACTCGGTCCTCTCATGCTAACACCCCTATGGCGTCTACCTTATCTTTACTTTCCTTTAAATATTTGCTTTCATAGCGATATTTACAAATGAAGGACTAACTTTACCCGCTGGAGCTACACCCGGAACACAATGTGATGTGTGTCTCAGTTAGCATGTGCTGGCTAGCTCGGAGGCGCTAGGAAGAAGCAGCAGCAACTACCGACGACGATAGAAAGATTTAACTGGTAATAATGAAGTTACAGCTTTTACCTCTTGTGGGGGCTGCTCCTGGACAGCGGCTTTGTGCTCCTCTGGAACAGCAGCAACTCCGACCGACAACAAAAACACGGCGGCGAGCGGAAACAAGACACACATCACATTTCTATCAGCCCGTCCGTCTCCTCCGCCGACCATGAGAGGCATTATTGCTTTCTAAACACTCACCACACACAGTTTGCGCTTTATTGTTGCTGTCGCGAATCACTTAATATCATCGGCTAACTGAGCTGGCTAACTTCATATTAGCAACCTACACAATCTGAGCGACACTTCGGCGATACACGTCACGATCAGACCGACCGACTCAACTCAGGGCGGAAGTTAGAATCTTGCTGCCGCGTTTACGACCGGAGCAGAAAGATGATTGGACCGTTGAAGGAGTGACGCGACCTTGTGGGATGACGTACACAAAATACAGCTCGGTGATTGGACAGTGTTCTTGTCAGTAACGACTTAATGCAAATAGAGTTAAAGACACACAAGGGGAAATAAAACTACCACGTTATCATGATAGGTTGTTTGACACTACAAGTTATAAAAATGAACTAATTTAAAAGGCTAAAAATGTGTAAATAAGCTTCAAAATGCAAACGTACTATCAACTTGCATAATGTTTATTCTGTCTGCAAGAACATAATGACCACTTCTGAATAATCTGCAGTCATTAATTTATAATAAATATTTAAATACAAGGATGCATATGCTGTGTACACTTCACAGTTTAAATAATATTATCAGTTATTTAATCACTTCTTCGGCCAAAGGGCTTTCACCATCTAGTGGATTCCTCAAGTCCTAGTGTAGACACAAATATACACAAAATACAGACAAAAAGATTAAAATAAATACTTATAGAGAAGTACAACATGGAACGAACTCCACTCCCATGCTCAGTTTATTGGCTATAAGTGCAATATTTAATTCCAACAAACTTGATTTAATGTTGTAGTTCAGAATCATTATTATTAAAAAACTTCCCAATGTTTGTCGAACAGCAGGACATTGGTATTACCACCATGAGAAATACATTTGTTTCTGTTACAACACAATAACTCGTAGCAATATACGTATGAGATTTATATTGTTATTAAATCATACCCACTTATTTTGTTTTAACAACAATTTTTTTTGTCAAAGCCTCAATTTGGCTAATTTCTTTTTATATTTTGAAAGGATCTTTTCGTTATTGAAAAAACATTTAAAACATCCTTACTTAACCAACATCGCTTATCTTATGAATTATAATGAGATATGTTTGTGTGCTGTAACAATATGTGTTATTATTACATGGATGTAACCTATTATAACAAAAACAAGATTCAAGGTTATTTTAAATATATTTTATATATTTCCCCATTCATTCACATCAGTCAGTAAGAAACAGCTCACCTCTCACCTGGAGAGACTTTTGCTATGAAAAAGTGTTTCTGCAGCACTGCCATGCCTCACATTCACACTTTGGAGCTGTCAACTAAACTTCAACGTTGTCCTGTTGGCTTGTCAGTCAATGCTGAGAGGGAGGTAAGTTTCAGTCCTGCACCTTCAGGTCCTCAGACAACATTTTTCTAGGACTTTACAGTTCCCAATACGCAAGGCAAACACAAACTATTCACATTATAAACGGTATAAATGCTTTTCTATGCCTCGGGTAAGACTCATATTTGCTAATATAAAGTTCATGACAAAGCTGTGCTGCCAGTGCCTGGTTGAAGAGCACATAAAGGACAACAAGCCACCAGGTGAGAGACAGGCCTCCAAAAACCAAGCTCAGTGAAACGTAGATCAGCAGCTCAGCAAAGTAATGCGGGCAGGACACCAGTTCGAACCAGCCTCCCACTGGCACTCTGTGAGCCAGCGTCGCCACTGTTCCTGAGAGACGCCACAAAAGACAACCAACCAACAGAAATAGATCAGCCCCCACTAACTGATAGATCAGTGGTTTACTATTGTATACTATTCACATGGTTACACTGAGAGTGTGTTGTTTATTACATTATACAATAAAAGCAAATATGATGTTCACGTGATGGATTTCTTATCATAATCACACTGTTCTGCAATCTGATTTGTTTAGCAAATGGTCAGCAGTTAAGTATAAATCATCTTACCATCTTACTTATCAAGCTTACCTGACTTCCCAGTGCGAAGCCTGGCCAGCAGGACCATGGACTGATGCTGCATTAGAGAGGCCACAACGAAAAGTGCGATTCCAGCGACATGAATCCAGTCCAGCTGAGAGAGGAGAGTTCCAGTCCCTAAAAAGAAAAGCACAAACATCAGCACCACAAAGCAAAACCAGTGACCAGTAGATGTAGAGAGGACTGATTTGAGTTTAACCTTTTCCCAGACGATCCGAGCAGAGCACCGTCAATCCCATTGTAACGTAATACCCCAGACCGAACACATACTGCACTAAATGTAGGGCTCCATCAGAGAAAACACTGACAAACAGGCACTCCAGCAGCCTCCTGAGGGAGTGGACACAGAGCAGCAGCAGCACCAGCACAGTGGACAGCTGTGGGACTACAGACAGGGTGAATACCAGCGTCAATCAAACAGGAGAACACAAGCTTTAGACACAGTGTTGGACTGTCAGCCTACCTTGACTGTCAGTGCTTGGTAAACCTGTCAAAATGTCTAACGACCCAATGAGCCATGGTGGGTAGGACTGATGCCGGAATGTGAGGTTCAGGTACAAGACCAGAAGAAGAGCATTCCAGCCTACAGAGATGGCATAGAAGTGCCAGAACCACCTGGAAGTCGAAAAAAAAGGAGCACAAGTTACTATTTGTGTGTGTAGCATCCAAACATTTAAGCTTTTAGGAAGCTAACAATGAAAGAAACCCCTAAAACTCCAGTTGAACACATTACAAACGTATAAATTAAACTTATAAATACATTATTTAATAGCTCTCCACGTTGGCTAAGTTGTTTCCTACGTAACAATGACCTTTTTGGGACGTCAAACACACGCAGCCAGTCGTCTCGTCTGAGGGTTTGTTTGGTTTTTCCGTACCGAATAAGATCCTGAAATAAAACGTAAATACGACATGTTTCGTATTTTTTGGGCAGCTGTGATGAGATTTTGTGAACGCAGTAAGCTACAAGGAAACACAACGCCAGAAAAGCCCACAAAACATCAGCAAAGCTACAGCCGACCGAGCTCCACATCCTCTTCCAGCTCCGCGGGTTGTGGACATTGTTTTGTGCGACACAGAAAAGAGACCGTCGGGAAACAGTTCCGGATAAAATGAGTGAATGCGGTAAATCTAATTATTAACAATACATTATTTAATCGTAATCATTTATTAGTTCGTCAGGAAATTGTGTGAAATATGTTAAACTCAGTGTCCATTAGAACATCTTTTATCTTTGCATTCAGAGTAAAATAACAGTGAACAATGTTGGGAAATGACAGCATACAGCAGGTGGCAGCACTTGAATCTCATCACATAACAAGTGGAGCCAAAATGAAAGCATGGACCCTCCAGTCAGATTCAATGAATTTCCACAGGTAAGGGTGATCAGTTACTTTCAGACTATTAACACTTTATGAAACTGAGCGTAATAAATGAAAGAGCTGTTGTTTTATGTAATACCTTTGAAGTTATTCATCTAACAAAAGGTTTGTGTCCATGTGTGGCTCTAAACCTGCATCCGGTTGACTTTGAACATACAACGTTAAATGCAGTAGTGGAATAAGTATTTAGATTATAGCTGCAAATACTATTGTCGATTAACCTGTCGTTTTTTTTTCTAAATTAATAGCTTCAGCTGTCACTGTCGATTAAAGTCATTAAAAGCCCAAAAATAAAAAAGTGTGGTTGATTTTCTTTCAATCAAATGTCCAACTAATCAATTAATTGCCTAATCGTTTCATCTCTAATTAAGATTCTTTACTTGCATGACGCAGAACCACAATGTAGAAATACTCTGTTACAAGCAGCAGTGATGGAAGAAGTCTTCAGATCCTTTATTTGTAACAATACAACGTAGTGAAAATACTGCACTACAAGTAAAAATCCTTATATAGGATGTTTTCACAGCCCATAAAGGAACACATACTTCAGTTTCTTGAAATCACAATCACCAAATTTGGAAACACATGGTTTTCACTGGACAGAAAACATTTAAAGAATTGTTATCTGAAAAGTAACTAGTCACTAAAACTGTCCACTGCCTCTGTGATGTAGTAGTAGAAGTAGAAGTAGGCCTGTAAAGTACCAGTACCAGCACCTCGAATTTGTACTTATAAGTACAGAACTTAGTAGATGTAGCTTATACTTGTACTTAGTTACATTCTGACACTGGTTCCAAGTATCTTTACTCAAAGAACCAGTGTGTAGGTGGTGTGTGGCATAGTGGTAAAGTTGCAGATTGCAACCATTTGAATACAACTTGAATTCCAAGCATGTAGGAGAAACTATGGTGGCCATGAAACTCCTTAAACTATAAATGCGAAATACCCTGTCTAGAACCAGTGTATGATTTGTCTGTTCTTGGCTACTGTAGAAACATGGCAGTACAACATGGCGGCCTCCGTAGAAGAGGACCTGCACTACGATTCTTATTTTCGTAGTTTTGTATGTAAACTCTTTATCTGCACTGCATCCTGTTCACTACAGACACGTGTAGTAAAAAGAACAACATTTCCCTCTGAGATGGAGTGGATGTTTGTGTTTTATTGTTCAAAGCAAATCTCTGGAATCAAAACCTTCATCACACTTTGATCTTCAGGACAGTGTTACCAAACATGATGTCTGACCTCGTGGCCCTGGTGCTTCACTCATGCCCAGTTTTGCTGAGTTTTCTTCTCACAGTTTCACAAGTCGTGTGCATGTTCCCCCTCTCCACAATGCAGTAATGTGCCAAAGGAAAAGAAGTGTGTTTGTGTTAGAGGCCTTTAAGGCATTAGAGTTCAGGATGCCTCTTAGAGGAGCACTGTATCCTGTCTGAGGAAGTGTGGACTGTTTCCTGTTTCACTCCCTCCCCTGTCCTCAGTGTGCTCCTCTTTTTCACTGTGCCAACTGGACCCTCACTGGGCCCCCTGAAGATTGCAGTCAAGCTGGTGCACCGTGGGCACTATAAAAACAAGATTTGTGTGGCAGAAGATCAGTATTTACAGATTCAAACACAATCCGAGGAAAAGAAATCCAAAATATCGAAGGGAAGGTTTTGATATAGGACAAACGAGACAGAGAGACTGTTGACACTCTTTCAGCTTCATTTCTTACACACTGGAGCGTATTCTGGCAAAACCTCCATGTTTTAGTGTTCCTATAACAAAACTCAGAGACCGTGCTGGAGAAAAGCAGGAACTACATTAAAATATGTGACAGTGTGAATTTAAAGATCCTGTTGTTTGCGTACAAAGCATTAAATAGCTTTTCCCTATTTACATTTGCAACTCTGATCCGCACACAGCACAGCTAGAGACTCTGACCAAAGTACATTTTTATCACAATATTGATGCTTTCAGGTAAGGGTGTAATCATGGTATATGAATATATATAAAAATACCAAGTGCATTTACCACAATTCTGTGTTATTTCTAGATGAAAATTGGCACATTTACAACATACATTTGAAGACTACATTGATCATTTGATTAGGGACTGACAAATATTCAGTATTTTTCCAATCCAATCCTGTAGTCATCATTCAGTGTCCTGCTCATAACAGGATCTGTTACACATCGTGAGTAATAGCCAGGACTCAAGGTTGTTGTGCCGCAGACTGGGAAATGAAAATAATCAAGTACAAGTGCCTCAAAATTGTACTTCAGTACCGTACTTAGTTACACTCCACCACTAGATTTTCATTTTTACTGCAAATGTATATCGGTCCAAATATTGGTTAACAGTTTCCTTGATTTATAATAATCTGTATCTGTATTGCTCCTAAAAAAACGTTAGGGGTCTTTGATTTCATGTTTAAAGGGACGGTCTGTGAATTGTTTGTTTATGTTATTGTGTAACTTTGGTGTTTTAAAGGGTTAGTTCGGATGACAAATAACGTGTTAACTAACTTTCAAATTGCCTGTTTCTTCATTGGAAAGAGCTGTCTAATTGCAAGGTAAACCAGTTAAAATATCCTAAATATAGTGTACACTTAAACTTATTTAGATTTTTTTACGTGGGCCTTCTTTTAGGTGGCTTCTAGGTGGTATATTTTCCTTAATAAATGGATAAATTAAATTAATAAACAAGAAATAACACGACAGGGTTCAAAAAGGGAGACCATATTTAACATATTTTCTACTGTATATTGGGGGGCAGATTTTGGTGGGGGATGCCCACATTTTCAGGTGTCAATCTACACACAAACACACCTTTACTCATTGAGTTAGATGAGAAGATCGTTACCTTCAAGATGGAGCCTTGTTAGGTTAGCTTATGGATTTGAAGCTGGGGAACGAGCTGAAGAAATGGCCCACTTACACCTTTAGAGCTCACTGATTAACACACTATATCTCACTAATAATATCTTTAATTGTAGGGTCATGTGTTGGACTATTTCTATCCTATTTATTATTATTATTATATTATATTATTTTAGTGCATTGATCCTCTCATCAAACTGTGCCTAAGCTAACCAGCGCCTGTATTTCCTGTCTGTAGCCTGTCTGTGACCAGCATGCTGAAAACTGTTTGATTTCTAGTGATTAGAAATGAAGACAGGAATAAAAGCAACCAGTCTGACACGTTTGTGAAGCTGCACTAACCATATTAACAGTAACTGTTTGGTAATTTGGTAACTTTATTATCAAAATTGAAATACATATTATTGATTTAACATTTAACACGTTTTATTTCATATTTTGAGGTGCAACACTCATTGTCTGCTTTTTATTAAATTTATTGGTTGTATTAAATCATGTAGTGGCTATAGGCAGGCTGCTGAGCTATAATTATGTCCTCTAAAAATGTAGTTGGTGTGTTAGCATGACTATGATGTGGCAGTATGTTCCAATCTGGGTATTCATGAAGTGAATTTATTCATTTTAACTTAACTAATCTATATCATCAGTCATGTTTCCTATTGTTTCAATTTAGTTGTGTATACTTCTCCTGCACTGTGCTCTCTTTTCTGCGTAAATCACCACAATGCACACACAAACACTCTCCCCCTCACCCTCTCTCGCTCTCCACATCCCTCTGAGTGCCTGAATGCTTCGTGCCCATTCTTTTGGTATTGAATTGTGGGACACTGACCTTTGAAATGCCTCTTGTGATCTCAGACCATAAACACGAACAGTGCCAAGACAATTCAGAGCTGTTTGCTTGTGAAGACTTTTGAATAGGAGTTGTTTTGAAATGTGATTTTAATGTAAACATTGTTTTTGAATTGGGTGTGCAGAGAGCAACTTTTCCTAGCAGTAAAAATAAAAACTCTAATTCTACTCAAAAACAATATTTGCAATACAATCACATTTGAAAACAACTTCTAAAATATAATAAAAGTATTAAAAGTGTGTTGCAATTGAATTTAAAGTATTATGTTCCACACAACCTCAAATTTTCTAGAAATCCTCTTTTATGTTTGTCTTTGAGTGGGCCAGAGTTCAAAGCAATCATCCTCATGTTCAATGTGCAAAACAAAAGCAGACAGAAAAAAATGGAAAATCTTTTTCTTTCTTTCCAGAGGTGCATTTGGTGTGGAGCGCCCTCCAGGAAGCGTTGGCTAGGAGGAGGATAGGCGGTTTTGCAGGCAGGGAGTCCCTGTAGAAGTGACCAGGCCAGGAAACATGTGGATATAGCACGTAACATACAACCCCATCATCTCCCTGAACCATCCTGAATCCATGCCAGCGATCAAAACACAAACTTCCCCCTTCTCATCAGGTACATTCATCAGGTTGACAGCAATTTTTTATTCTTGTAAAAACATCATCTATCAGACATGGTCTCATCAGTTTTCTATTTGCGAAGTGGTATGCACACAAATTCTTAGGTTTAACTAAAAATAAGGTTGTAATTAACTGAGCTACAAACCTTGAGGTTCACATTTATTTTTTCATAGTCTGAAACTACAACGAACACAACTGTTTTGGTTCATTATCACCACTCTTGTTATCAGTGTTGCCTTTGGCCGCAGCAGGCAGCTGTTTTCTGCAACAGAAAGCTCAAAAAATTACTGTGTGGTACAAACCCAGCAGACAGACACAGTTTGCAACTAGCTGGTGAACACAATAAAACATTTAGCAGCTAAAGAGCC